TTAGATGTTTTTTTTCTGTAAAAATAACCCCTCAGTGCCTGAAAATGATTCAGATTTAACTCCCCGTTGTGCTCTTGCTGCAGCCTGAGCACACCGGCTCACCAACAATGTAAAAACTCTGTTAATCTGCACAGTTGCAAGGTGCAATATTGGAGTATTTTAAGAAGAATAATGATACAGAAACACTGGAAGCCTGAATCTGTATTTTTATCTGTATATTTAGATCCTTTACTCAAGTAAAAGTACAGCAAAGTAAAAATACTCTGTTACATGTAAAAGTCCTGCATGACAAATCCTACTGAAGTCAAGGCACATATATAAGTATTAGCAGCAAAATACTGTTAAAGTATTAAAGTAAAACTGGTCCCTCTGACTGATAAATTATTATTTTTGACATCAGTAGACTATTAATAGTGAAGCATTAGTGAGTCATCAGCTGATTGGGGCAGAGGAAGGACGAGAAAACTCGCTTCTGATCTACGAGTTGGAGTTTTGGGAATCTGTAATTATAAAATTGTCCACAGGAGTTTTAAGGTGGAGACGCTCATGATGTGTCCTCTAACATATAGAAAACACTATATGGACACTTTGACTGGATTTAAAAAAACAAACAAACCACTTTTCTCTTTTTATTTTTTTATCTGCACTGAACTGCAACTTTTACTACTCACACCTCAAATACTCAGAATTCGTTTGGTGTTGTGAGAGAGAGAGAGAGAGAGAGTTCAAGTGCAGAGACTGGGAGTACCAACAGAAAGTCTGGTTTATTAGCAGACAGATAATTTGAAGAAGAATAATGAGCTGAGTTGGTGGGAGTCGAGGGCTGAGGGCAGGTTCAGGCTGCAGGTGAGCGGGCCCGAGGCGACACCTGAGGAGGAGAGCCAATGAGAGGCAGAGTTTAGTCCAAAGAACAGAGGAAGCTGAGTGGATCCAGTGAGGGAGGCTCGAGTCAGACGAGGACATAGAAAGACTTGACCATTTAAATACCATGTTATATAGCAAACCAGAAAAAAGATCTTGAAATTTTATTACGCAAGAAGCCAGAAAATGCCAGGATGTCGTCTCATTTTGCACCAGATTCTGCGATGGATAGGCTTTAGGGGGAAAGAAGTAGCATGTGTGCATACAGCATGCAACAAGTCTGAACTTTGTAAATGCAACTAAGAGCAAAAAGAAAAGAAGTTTGTGATTTGCAGCACAGCCGGAGCGTAGATGTGCATGTGCTGCTGGAGCACCGGTGATGAATGGCAGCTGGTGGCCTGAATCCAACACATCTGTTCCCACTCCTGCAATCAGGGCCAGCGACCCAGACAGGCTGTGAGAGGAGGCAGACGTGGAGGGCGTGATGCTCGATTCCAACGCACCGTGGAAGTAGAACGCTGCCAAAAAATCCAACTGACAAAACGCAGTTTAGTTTGTTTGAGGTGAAACGTCGAGGGACTTAGTTTGTTCAATTGGCTCAGATTTAGCTTCACGCTGTGTTCCTGCTGCAGCCTGAGCACACCAGCTCACTAAGCCCTGTAAACTCCTCGACGTTACGCAATTGCAAGTTGCAATTTTGGAGTAATTCTGAAGAAAAATGATGCAGAAAGCCCCGTCCTGCACACGACTAGTTGTAACTTATGAAACACAGGAAGCCTGAATCTGCATTTTTAACTGCATATTCAGATCCTGCATTCAAGGGAGCGATGAGGTGAAACATCTCGGCGTTGTTAGCATTCAGATACAGACGTGACTCAACACGTAACCTGATTATCTGAGGAGCTGCACGAGCGATCGAAGTTTGAAATGATTAGCAGTGACAGACTTTTCAGAGTTGCATGTGTCTTCTTTTGCATCATGCATAACAAACACTTGAATAATTCTTGCAGATTTTTCAAGAGCTTCATTGGTATAAATTCATTTTTCGCTCCTAAATGTGTCTTCACGTGTCCGTCTTGGTTGTTTTTTACCGAGTTGCAAAACGAACACGTGGCTTCATCTGCATCCTGCACAAAAAATAGCAGAACTCTTGCAGGATTTTCAAGAAGCTCGTTGACATCAATTCATTTTTCCTGCAAAATAAGTGTTCTTGTCTCCGTCTGAGCACCTGGCGGCTCCTCAGAAGTTAGGTTGCCTCTTGAGCTCCTAAATATTCACTGAAATAAGAGTTCTTATCTTAGCAGTTGACACAAAAATGTGCAGTTTTGAGTATTTCGGGCCAGTTAGAAATTAGCTCTTAGACTTGAAAAGAGGTCATAAGGTGGCACAATAAGATCCTGTACCATTTGCGCTGTTTTGATAATCTTTATATCTATTTATAGTTTATTTTTTTGTACACTAAGGGACTCGGAGAAACGGACTGCCCATGTAGAGATATTGACGATAAAGTTCACTTTGACTTTGCTCCTGATGACAGACTGACTAGACATCCCTGCTCATTGCATGATAGAAAACACACTGTGCATATTTTATCGTTGGATCCTGTCCTGCTGTGTTTTCTCCTGAGTGTTACTCAGATACCCTCCTGAACGTCTTCTTGGCTATCGCTGTCGACAACCTCGCCAATGCACAGGAGCTGACTAAGGTAGGCCGGGTCGGACCCGCTCACAGCGAGTGTTTCCTCTTTGCGCTGAATCACTGCAAAACCTGAGAAAAGCGTCGCACGTGCACATCTGTTGCAATCTTAATGTGTTTTACGTTAAAGGATGAGGAGGAGCAGGAGGAAGCAGCCAATAAGAAACTGGCCCTGCAGAAAGCTCTGGAGGTGAAGGAAGTGAGCCCGATGTCTGCGGCCAACATCTCCATCGCTGCGTAAGTTTCCGACAACGCTGGAAACACATGTGGCTCTGCGTGTTGTTCTTCCCTCTCAGATGTTTGTATTTGTATCGTGTTTGACTTGCGTATCCTCGTCTTCTCCCGTTATGAGAAGGCTCCTGTGCTGTTGCCTTGTTTATTTAATCCTATAGGCAGTTAAAGGAAGCTTCATTCAGCAGCACGTGTGAGTTTCCACCAGCGGTTTTTGCTTTATTTTTTTATTTTTTTGCAACATGCTGGCAAATTGACTTTTCATTTTTAAAGCAGTTGCGCCGCGTTTGAACAATCAGGTTGTTCCACTGCTTTAGAAACGTTTCCTGCGCAATGCAAACCAGATTAAACAAGTTTTGGCTCATTGGATGTTGATAACAGAAGATTCCTGCATTAAAGTGCCATTATTTGCTTCTTCACACGTATCAGTTAGGCCCGGGGATTTACACGACTTTTTAACATCTGACAAAAAAACCCAAAACACAACAGCATGACAACCATTATAACATTATATTTTAATACAGCCTAGTAGCAGATTGTAAACTGTAGTCTTGGATAACATTCAGTATGTAGCAGCAACAGGCTCAGTTTTTTACAAAAATGTATGTGACGATAATGGCTAAAATATGCTCCTCTGACCTTTTTTTATTTTATTTTATTGGATTTCTGGATGTCTCATGACCCAGCAGTCCCCACTTTAGGAACCAGTGAATTATGGGGAAACACCATCAATACTGTGTTGTAGCATTACATCATATGAGAGCAAAATTCATGTAAAAAAATAAAAATAAAAATAAAAAATAAATAAATAAAAATCAAAGAGTACATTTTCAGTTGCATAACAAATTTCTAAAAATAGAATTTCTTGTTATTTATTTCACAACAACAATATTTCCAGCAGTGGAAAAATCTCTACGTATTACAGTTATTATACTAACATTTTTGACACAATAAGCACTGCCTGCAGTTCAGCCTAAACATCTGTTCGTTTTTGTAAAGTGACTGTTGGTCACAGCTGAGTCACTAATTACTTCTTAATTGTGGGGAACAGTAATTTTTTTTTTTTAAAGAAACATACCATGGTTTTAATTAACTATCATGATTTAAGCTCTAGATTAGTTTCGTTTTTCTGACGGAGCCACAGGTCACCTGTAATTCAAGGATCATCATAAAATCTGATTATTCTTTCTATTTTTACGGCTTTTTTGCTTTTATTTTTTGGGGGCTTTTTAAACAGAGTTAGAAGGTCCAAAGGTTTTTAACCCTATTCAGGACTTTTGGGGTCTTTTGGACCCCAAGATGTTTTTTTCAATATAAAAAGAGGGACATTTGTCATTCATTTGGAGCCAACAGTACGTCAACTTAATCAGAAAATGTGTTTAACATAGTATAAAAGTCTGTAAAGAATAACAGCAAATATTTTGCACATATTCTTTCTTGGGGTCCAGTGGACCCCGAAAGACCTTCTATGTGTGGCAACATGAAAGTCCTGAATAGGTTTTAAATCTTCAACCTGAGCATCCACCTCAGTATAATAATTTTTCTTTTATTCTGAGGATTAATTTTAAAATAAAGCAGATGAACAAAGATCAAAGCAGCACAAAGGAAAAAGACGAGAGAGTTACACGAACAAGATGAAGGAGAAACTTAACGTCAGCTGTCAGAAGTTCAGAGTTTTTCTAACACGATAATGACAGTGATGTCTTTATGAGAATGGATGGCTCCTGTCACGCTCAAACCTTCGCCCGGCCGCCTCTCCACCACCACCAGCTGACTGACAGCTCCTGTGTTAACGAGGAGACGTGTTGCGCCTCCGAATGCTGCCTCGTTTTAGAAAAGTGGTGTGAAACTGGAGCTTTCCCAAACTCATCAGTGATTTATAGCCGTAAAGCTCAGAGTTAGAGTGTGTCCTATTCCTTGACACTGATCTGCTTCGTTTAAACAACAAAACAAAAAGCAGCTAATTGAACATTTCTGCACAGCCCTTCATGCGGTTTCTTCCTTTCACTCACTTGACAAAGCGATCGTCTCCGAGTCGCTCTTTAATTGCCGCCGTCCTCACTGAGAACGAGGTCAGTTCGACTGGAGGAGATGATCAGCTATAAATCACTGGATGTCATCCCCCTTTTGCTCTGTTATTACTGCTATTATGTGACCCTCTGTTTTCAGTGTTCTCCGGATATTTTAATTTGTGCTTTTGAACAGTGTGTTACAACTCCAGTGAGCGAGCTCGTAAGCAGCTGCTTTTATTTTGAAATGACTGTTTTATGTGTATTCTGTGCTCTGTTTCGGAGAAACTCAGGGTTTCATGACAAAACGAATCAAAGAATCTTGACTAGAAATGGTTTTAAAGTCCACATAAGCCTCTATGAACTGAATTTGTACTCGTAAAGTTATTAGTAGTTTAAATTTGATTCTGTTCTTGTTTTGGAATGAAACTCCTGAACAGTTTTTTGTCACGAAAATGTCACTGCTGACAGACGTGCTTTTGTTGCCGCACAGATCAGTTCTTTACTGTGAAGCAGGAGGGGACAGGTGGACGGACAGACCGGCCGTCCACCTGTCCCCTTCACATTTGTGTCTCATTTTTTTCCTTTTTGTTTTTGTTCTGCATGTACAGTTTTGTAAAGCAAAATCGAGATGCACTCTCTCGCAGGTCGTCCGTCAACAGCATTCAGTCACCGTGAGTTATCACTCTCTGTTACAATATCCTCCTCCTTTCGTCTTCACTCCTCCTTCCTCTCCGTCCTCCTGTCTTCTCCCTGATCCCTCCCTTTGCCCTCCTCACCTTCTGGCCCTGTTCTCGGCTCCTCTCTGTTCTCTCTCCTCCTCTGGACCTCCATAAGTTGTCACAACTTCATAGCTGGTAGAGTGAAATGTACTTGTGATTCTTATACTTTTAAATAAAATATCATGACGAAATGCCTCAGAGGGCAGAAAAACACCATCACATGTTGCGCTGTGAGGCCGGTGTGGGTGTAATTTTGAGTGTAATCGGTAAACAGTTGTGTTTCCCCGCAGCTTTAACCGGCCGTCGATGGCTGCGGCTGATCTGTGTTTGCTGCCTGCAGTAATCCATCTTTGCTCTCTGATGTGAATAATTTGTCTATAAATGTTTAATTCCTCTGAGTGTTGCGATCACCGCAGGCAGTTTGACATTTCTGGTCCGTTTGCCATCGCTTTAAAGACAGTATGAGTGTCCAGTGAGCTGCTGCCGTCCCAGCTGACTTAGAAACAGCACTAACATCAGCCTAGAACTGCCCTTTTTTTGTGTGTTTTTCAGTGTGCATGCGGTTTGTTAATCACAAAATCTCTGGCTTTCCTTTCTGCAACCATGCGAACGCTACCTGTCTGTCTGTGAATGTCTTCTGTCTGTCTTTTAGGAGTTATTCAGTCTACTCTTCTCCCGCCCGACGTATCTCGAGGTACAGCTGATCGATTGGAACTAACTTGACTAACCCATAAAAGCTAAACCGAAGCCATACTGTGCACAAACGTGGGACAGTATGCGAAACCTTCACACGTGATAGATGGAAACGCGAACACAACAAAGGACTTTTTTGATTGTGTTTTGGATTGTTAGGAAAAAGTCACGTTTCGTCCATCAGTGTGACCTCAGACCATCTTCGTCTCAGGAGTCGGCTTGTTGTTCTGCTTAAAGAAAAGTTACACAGAATGCGAGGAATGGTCATACATCATAGCATGTTTTCTTCCTGCCTGCCCCATTTACACATGACCTGTGTCGCACTGAATTTGAAAAAAAAAGATCTACATGGTCGCTGTCAGACTTACTGAGGTTTGCAGCCAAAATGAGCAGAAGGAACAAGAACAGGAGCTTAAAACTGTCCAGGTGTAGCGATATTGTGGTTTTGTTGGAATTTCTGATGGGTTGCACCATCAAGCGAAATTCAACTGAACTTTTCTCCTCAAGTTTTGCAATAATTTCCAGCAGTAGGAGCCTCAAAGGGCATCAGGGGCCTTTGATCTACACATATGTGGTGAAATCAGGCCTGGAAAATGTCCCTCACAGTCTTAAGGAGATCCGAGGATGGATGAAATACAGTTGTGACTCGATAATCCAACACTGAATGTAAAACCTTCTTGTATGTCGGATAGCAAGCTGTCGGATTGTCGATAGGGAGGTCGAGATAAAAGGAGGGCTTGATGCTTGAAGGGTAATTTGTTGTTAATATTCATTGTTTATAGTTGTTATCATAGCTAGTGTATTGTTAGAACACTACGCATCGCTGGATTTCACGCCTAATTGACCGATGCGTTTGTGCATGTTCTGGCCACTTCCACCCCGGGGGAGCGCTCCGACGGGTTGGAAGCGGCCGAAACGCACAGGCTGCTGATGCCAGTTTCGTTAGTGGTCACAGTTCTGTTTCCACCATCAGGTGGCAGCGGTGGTGGCGGGGGAGTGGCGGATACGCTCCACCGTTGCCATCCGTGTTTACTTCCATAAACACTGAGCATGCTCGCTGCATGTGATGTCGTCGTGTCCTCTTCTGCGCATGCGGGACACTTTTGGGTCGTATGACGTTCACACAGCAGCTCATATACAAGTCGCATTTAATTGGAAATATGAACGAACTCGCAAAAGAATCGGATTTCGCAAAAAAAAAATCAAAGTTAAGCATTAGGTCCTGCAGTGTGAACGTAGCCAATCTGTTCAGTCAGATAATACACTATTATCCTGATTTGTGACATAAAATGTCATGTCGGAGTCGGAATCCAAGGCTGTCGGTATGTTAAGGCTGTTTTCTATGGGTTCTGTTCGTTTTTCCTAAAAGCTTGTCGGATAGCAACGTTTTGGATTGTTAAGGGTCGGATTATCGAGTCATGACTGTATATGTGTGTAGTTTAGTCTTTGTTACTCACTAGTTAATTACAAACTTTTGGAGTGTTGGAGAGTTTACTTTAGCGAAGCAAGTTTTCCTTGAGTTTGTGCACGAAGTTTGTAGAAGGTCGCGTGCAGCTTTATGCTCAACAAAAAGCCTGATTTTAGTTTAAACATTCATCAGAGGAGGAAGCTTTGAATAGCAGCGTATGAAAACACTGCAGAGAGGATTTGACCTTTGCTTGTTTTTGCCGTCCAAACCAAAGAGTAGAACGTCTTTATGAGGAAAAAAATGAGCAGATTACTGCAGATGTTTTGCTATTTTTCGACACCATCGACCTTAATATTGTCTTATAGACTTGCAGGGTTTCTTATATTAAATTTCTGCTTCAAATCAAAGCCATGTGGAGAGATTTCAGTGTGAAGGACCAGGTCATATCCTAACAGGAGGAATTTTAACCATCTTGAGAACCCTAATGAGCTAATTTCATGCTGGATTTAAGCATTTTCTCCATGTATTAGTCACTCATGGTAAGTGAAAGCTTTACCATGGTGGACATGTGTGCTGATGCATCCATAGACCTGGTTCTGTCTTATTTATTCATTAGGGGCTTGGTGAGTATCATTCAATTAAAAAAAACTGTGTGGAGAAGATGGTGTGGCTATGGATGAAAGCGTGGATTGCGATGTTCACCCTAACCTCATACAACAAGATAAATGTAAAGCTTGACTTGTGTTGTTTTTCACTGTCACATGATGTTTTTCTGTGGATTTGGTGTTTGCAGCAAGGAGCAGCAGCGCTCGGCTAAAGCCATGTCAGTGTGGGAGCAGAGGACCAACCAGTTGAGGAGGCACAACCTGAGGGCGAGCAGCGAGGCCCTGTTCAACGAGCTCGACCCCGAGGAGCGCCTCCGCATGTCCACCGCCCTCCACCTGCACCCCGACATGAAGACCCACCTGGACCGGCCACTCATGGTGGAGTCCAGGAACGGCGACAAGCCCAGCCGGCACCCGCCAGAGGGAGGCCGCGAGGAAGCCGGAGACCCGCGGCCGGACGGGGAGACCTTCCACACCCACGGCAGGAAGCACCACCGCCACTGCGAGAGGAACGGGGACGGAGGGGAGGGCCGGGGAGGGAGGCACCACGCCCACCACAGCAGAGGGAGGGAGTACAACGGCGACAAGGAGAGGAGAGGGGAGAGGAGCCAGAGCCGAAACGGAGGCCAGGGACACCGACACCACCCGGCCGGATCACCTGAGGAGGAGGCCGGCGACGAGAGAGGCCACCGGCACCATCACTCCCATCGTCCACCCAAGGAGGGAAACGGGATGTTGGCCAACGGAGCCCAGGCAGAACGGAGGGGGAGAGGGGGAGGAGAAGGGGAGAGCAATGGAGAGAGGAAGGCTCGGTGCTCCCGGATGGCCAGAGCTCAGTCGACTCTGGGCGACGACTGCAAGAGGAGCAAGAACGGAAGCAAAGGTTACAGGTGAGACTGCAGATAAACTACAATCCAAAGTGGTTTTTGTTTTTATTCTCGTAGATTAATCGTAGCAACTGGACTTGCTTGAGATCCTTGAAGATGTTCCACCTCTCATCCAAGAGGCTTCATCAGTTCTGACTGACTAGTTGGGAGTTCCAGATACTTATATCCTAAAGGAGCCATTAACACCTGAGTTTCTGTTTCAATTGGGGGTTTGTTGCTCCTCCCCCTCGTTATGCGAGTCGTTAGTGCTCCCCCGGCCATAGCGGGGTTCATTAGGTTCTTTTGTGGCTAGATGTGAATGTGGTTTCATCTTCCTGGGGTGGGGAGAGGCCGATGAAGCCTCTTGGATGAGAGGTGAAACATCTTCAAGGAACTCAAGCAAGTCCAGTTGCTACGATAATAGCAACATAATTTAAATTCAATATTTGAAAGTTCTTGTTTTGATCAGTATTCTTCTCATGACAGTGTATCAAATTGTCAGTGAAAATAAAGTAGTTAACCTACAGAGAGTTATTAAAATGATACTAGTTTTGCTCACTGACTGCTGCAGTTAATGTATAAATAAGCCAAGTCAACTTAAAAGGTGATGATACGTTGATGTTGTCTGTGAAGATTCTCAGTCATCCAGGTCATGGTTGTTCTTGTAGTTTAAGCGTAATCTCGTAGTTTAATCATAAATCCAGTTGCTATGATTAAACTACGAGAATATGTTAATGTTGCATTCATGACTTGTTTCTGTTCAACTAAAGTGGCCAAAAAAAAATCAGCTGTTACAAGCTTAAGGTGTGTTTTTATTCCTCAGATATTATCCCATTCAGTTCCACACAGCACACTTCACTTGTTTCAGTTTGATTTCTGATGCACTTTGTTTTGAAACTGAGACGTTATTGTTCTTGAGTGTTTCATCGCCATGTTTAATTCAACGCTTCACCACCGGACAGCAAACTGCAGCGTTTTACAATTATGTAATCGCTCTGCTTAATGTTTCATTCTACACATCGGATCCGTGATGTCTTTTTGTATCGTGTCAGGCCAGTTTTATTAACCAGAGAGCTGATGCGACTGCATCTTTGCACAACAGCCCACCTGACCTGCTCTTATTGGCCTTTACTTGTGATTTGCATTTTTCTGGTTGACCTGGAATCATCACATTTCTCTCAACTCCACCAGCAGTGGTTCAGAAATAACTCTGAGGTGAGAAAACAGCCCCGCAGAGTTTCGTAACATTTTTTGTATTCACAGCCTGTTTTAAAAATGCATTTGGGGGCAGGTGTAGCTGACATGACATCAAGACACTAAAACTCTTAATTAATTCTGCAGCAGATTTTGTGAGTGCAGATTTCACATCCTAAGATGCCACAATATATCTAAGCACAAAGTTATTGATAGCTTTGCAAAATTTGGATTTATAGTGGATTTTTGTTTGATCAGTAGGTTTCTTCTGGATGGAAGTCAAACAGACAAATAACAATAGATAGTACGACATGGTGATAGAGATGTTAATGATAAACTTTAGCTTTCTTTTGTTCCATTTTTACCAATATTGTCATGTCTAAAATTATTAATACCCACAGAAGTTGAGTCAAACTTCAGCTTCTAGAAAAATAGAAAATGCAGCTTCTATACCGTTCCAAATGGTCCTGGCCATTAATACCACGTTCTAAAGCATTCTAGTTAACTATAAGTTGAAAACAGCTGATGTAATACTTCTTTAGTCATGTATTGCATCAATTCTAAGCCATGACGAAAACCAAACAGCCTATTCAGCTCAATGTTGAGGTCCATCACTGATAGAAAGTGGAATGTTGCCACCACTCACAAGATGAAAGAAGGCTGTGAAGTCTTATCCAAGTGTTTTTAATGCCAGTGACCACAGTGCAAGGCGTCTTCCAAAAGATTCTTTAAGGTGATGGTAGGAAGCCAAAATGTTAGTCTGAGAGGCTGAGAAGAACCCAGAGATCATCACAGAGACCATCCAGATGAATTCTGGTACCAACGTCCTGAGACAGAAACGCCAGAAGACACTGAACCAGGCTGGTGTTCATTAATAGCAACCAAAAAGGAATTCATTTCTACAAGACAGACAAACAAATGCTGGTCTAGGTTTTGCAAAAAACTGACCTGGACAAAGAAGAAAGCTTCAGATCATTACTTCTGTGGACAGATAAGACAAAAATGGAGTTGATTAGATACACAGACGAGGAGTTCGTTTGGTAAAAGAAGGGAGAAGCATTGAAACCAAAGAACACCATCCCTACAGTCCATCCCTACAGTCAAACATGGCAGGGATGTGATGTTTGGGGTGTGTTTTTAAGCCGATGGGCCTCGTCAGAGTAAAAAGCATCATGATTAAAGAGGACGACATGGAGATTCTGGAGGAAAACATGAAGCAGTCTGCAGAAAAACTTGGCCTTGGGCACCCGTTGGAGCTCCCAACCAGAAAATTATCTAAAACATTAACACCAAAGTGGTCAGAAATAGTTAACAGAGACTCACATCAGTGTTTTGGAGTCCAGGCCTAAATCCCATCGAGAATCTGTGGAGTGAACTGAAGAGCAGAGTGATGGAAGGAAGCCTTTAAGCTCAGAGATCTGAAGATCATCACAAAAGAGGAGTTGAACAACATCCCAGTGGAGACATGCAGAAAGACTGTCAGCAACTAACAGTAAAGTCTGGAAAGTAAAGGCTTATTACTGATATAGGGTATGGATAATTTCAGACATGGCATCTTTAATAAAAAAAACTTTAAAAAAGGAAAAATTTAAATAAAAAACCACCGGGGCAAGAACAACCCCAAAAAAAACCCAAAGCAAAATTTGTCACTTGTTTATATCATTTCCGGCCATAAGAAACATATTCATCGAATAAAATTCCCTATAAATCAAAATTTGGCACATGTACAATAATAATGTTGGGCTTACCTGTAAGACATAGAGCAAGAGTAATAGGCTATCGCTAACAGTTTGCACATAACACCAGCGTAGAAGTAAAGGTTTGTCTGGTTCCATGTAAGTTGTTGCTGTTTTTCTCTAAAGAGGCCAAAGGAACTGTTACAGATTTACAGAAAAAAGCTTAAAGCACCCCGAGAGCAAAAGTATAATGATGCACGTGAGACAATACGTTATTTTTTTCCACAGGGAGAGGCAGCCTGATGCTGAGGAGGACGGCCTCGTCTGCAGCTCTCTGCAGCGGATGAGGAGCAGCCTGAGTCTGGAAGAAAAGCAGGAGGACGCCGACAACCAGAAGAACTCAACCAGAGCCAGCCAGGCCGGTTTGAACAGCAACGCCATCCACATCCCCGTCACCATCACTGCCCCGCCGGGAGAGACCACCATCATACCCAGTGAGTGCAGCACGACGTGGGCGGCTGTGGCTCAGGTGGTAGAGCGAGTCGGTCAATCATCGGAAGGTCGGCGGAAACCTGTGTCATGTCCTTGGGCAAGACACTTCACCCACCTCGCCTGGTGTGAATGTGTATGAATGGATTGTTTGAGGTGGCGGACGGAGGGGCAGAATGGCAGCCACGCCTCTGTCAGTCTGCCCCAGGGCAACTGTGGCTACAGTGGTAGCTACCACCACCAGAATGAATGTGTGTGAATGAATAACTGACAGTGTATGCGTCTTTGAGTTTTATATTATTATTATTGTTGTTAATATTACACATTAGATTGGATTCAGCTTTACTGTCATTGCACCAAAATGCAGTTTAGCATCCAACAGGAAGCGGAAAAGCAGCGGTAAAATGCATTATTTACAGTGTAAACAGCAGGACCAGAGTGCTATGAACACACTAAGATGTGATTACATGGATTTATGGATATAATATATATGTATCATTAAAATCTACAGGTAGAGATAACTAGTGGCATGAGCAGTATAAACAGTGTTATTGTTCTGAGATATATGCAGTATATACGCAGGTTTAACAGTATGAACAATGAACAGGATGTGAGTTAGAGCATATATGCTGTATATACAGGATGCAGTATGGACATTATAAACACTGTAAAATGAGCTGGGACATACAGGGAGTTTATACGAAGCATGAAGTCCAGGGTGAGCGTGGATGTTTTATTTCCTTCATAATATTTCCACTATTCTCGCTTTGCTGCTAAATTATTCAAGCAAATTAAAGGTAGTTAAGGAAGTCACCACATCCCAGGGTCTCGACAAAGAAACCTGTGAGCACGTTTTTTACTAAATGCTCTAAAATACAATCTGAAATTGTCAAAAAAAAAGAATTTTGCTTTAATTGCTGATGAAACGTGCATGTAGTGTAAAAAATCAATGATGCCACAACAGTTCTATTTGGATTGTTTTGACATTTTTCTATTTCAAATTCTTCCCAGTTCTGTAGAAATCCTGCAGCTTTTTAGTGTCTCTACAACAGCAGCTTCCCTTTGTTAAAGCGTGTGTGCTTGTTTTTCTACTATTCATCTTTGCGTGAACATCCAGTCTTCATAACGCTGCTGTCATGCTCAGTCTTGACCCTCCAACCGCCGTCTTATAAGAGCGGCCTAATTACTCAAGTGATGGATTATATACTTTTAAGGATGCAGAGTACGTTCAGTCATAAAAACAACCACACGATGCAAAATCCTGCAGTTTATATCCACAGAAAACGTCTCCCTTGTTCCCGTCTGTGCTGCGTTGAGCTAAACGAGCGCATTTGTGTTTTTCACACCAGTGAACAACATCGACTGTGACAACTTCCAGCTCAGTGAGGAGAAGAAGGATCTGGAAGAGGAGGATGCTGCTAATGGGCCTCGGCAGATCCTTCCCTACAGCTCAATGTTCGTCTTCGGGCAAACAAACCCGTAAGTTGCAACCAGGAGGAGACTCAGAGGATTTATGCAGCAAGTTGAGAATTAAAAGCTCTTTATTTATCGTTTTTCTGTCCGATGTTATTTAATTTACACGCCTTCTTTTTTTTATTTATTCTTTTTATTTGAATTGAAAGAGCAATTTATTACAAATTTCCATGCATATTGTATTTACAACATTAAAGACCTCATTGCTTTTCCAATATTCTCATTTTTTAAATCACTCTTTTGTTATCACATAAGAACAGCCGAGCTGGGGAGCTTTGTAATTATCTTCACATCACTCAATAAAAAATAAGAGAATGGGGGGAAAAAAAGTAGCTGAGGAGAGCCGGTTGTGTCTAATTTCAGGTACTAAAGTTGGACCTTATGGGTTTTACATCCTCAATCCATTTAGTCCAGATCTGATAAAACTTTAATATAATTTAAACACCAGTAACTGAGGATTAAAGACGTGTAGCTCCAGAGATACCTGAAGAAAGAACAAAACACAAACTACAAGGAAAAGACAAAGTCAGTGACATGTAATGGGGATGTATAGAATAAAGACGAGTAGAGTAGGGATGATTTCTCCTACAGAATAAGCTCTTATTGTATATTAATTCTACTTTAACACACAGTGAAACCAGACAACATTAACACCCTAAAGCCTGATAAATGTCCACCTTTGTGCATTACTTTGACACAGATAGATAAGCATTTGTCCATCCCCTGTTATGATAAGACGCCACCTTAACTCACCTTGTGCTCTGCCCAGTGTGTACTACATTTGTGTGCTCGGTCGGTCTTGCAGGGTGCGACGGCTGTGTCACTATGTGGTCAACCTGCGCTACTTCGAGATGTGCATTCTGATGGTCATCACCATGAGCAGCATCGCTCTGGCAGCCGAGGACCCGGTGCAGGCCAACGCACCTCGCAACAACGTGAGTCGCCCTGACGTCCAGGCTTCGCTCATAAACATCTGGAAGAACACGACACAAACAGATGAAGTATTTGCATAAAAAGAATGCTTACACAAGTTCATTGGGATTGATTTGTTCGGACTGATTGAGAAGTCCTTCCTAACAGGGCTTGACAGTTTGTGCGTGATGGGGAACAAGCAGGAGGAAGCACGGACACAAGCTTCTTCATTTCTTTTTCGCTCAATTTTAAAGTGACTCCGAGCTTTGGGAGTTTTTAATACGGTGCCAAAACGTGGCGCGTGTCCAGTTTGGCAAAGCGTTCCTGCACTTCCCTGCGTGACAACTTAGCCCATGTCGGGAATAGAGATGAAATACATGCTCACAGACATGTGACTCCAGCCTTTTTTTCACTTTGACAGACAAGCACAGCTAATTAGTATTCTAGTCAGGGGCACAGAGGGAAACTGAGGTGATGCTGTGTGCGTTTGTGTGCTGTTTGTTCATGTGTGTGTGTGTGTTGTTTGTGGGCGTTGTGCAGAGCTGACAGAGCTTGAGACCTCTGACAGGACAGGGGGAACATGTTGTGCATTTCTGTTGAGGACACAGAGTCTTAAACTGAAAACATCTGTCACTGGGTCTGCTGATGAAGGATGTGTTTCTTCCTCCGTCTGTGCAGGTTCTCAAGTATCTGGATTATGTCTTCACCGGAGTCTTCACTTTTGAGATGGTGATTAAGGTGAGAGGGATGTAGAGGATGTCTGATGAAGCTGTCACGCAAGATTTTGTTAATTCACTGGTCAACGAACGTTGCAATTTTAGATATTTAGATGTTAGATGTTTCGGTTACACACACCCATAGTGTTTTGTATTTCTGTTGAGTTTTATCCAGACTGTTTTGACCCGCTGATCGCCAGATTTCAGCTCAGTGGACATCGAGTACACGGCGTTGTGGCCGGCATTGTCACCTGCACAGCTAATTGGCATTGTGGTTTTACTGTACACGTCCACACTGAGCATTTTTCCTTCTGAAAAGAACTACGTAAAGAACTATTACGGTCAATCAGGTGTAAAAGTGAACGTTTTTTCACCATTTTTAAAAAAACATTCACACCACGTTTCACCAGGATTTGCATTAGTGATCCTACTGCTCTAAGATGCAAATAATAGCAGTAAAAGTTTTCAAACCTGCCCAACAACAGAGTTTTACTGCTTAAATGGGAAAGGCCGAGGGAATGTTCTGCCTTTGGAGTAGTCAAAGCCATAACTCATACGTATTTGTCACGCACATTTGAGCAGTAAGTGCACTTTCTTATTTTACAGTAATCATACAATTGCTCCCGTTACAATATCCTGAAAGCTTCTTGCTGGCAGCACACAGCCTATATAGCTCTATATTTATTATGTTTACATGAAACATCCAATCGTTGTACGGACCACCGTGTTCCTACCGGTGCAATAACGTCAGACTAATGAATGTAGTCTCCGTTTCAAACAAATCAACACAATGATTAAACAAATGTAAGTTTTGCGACGCGTTGATGTTGTAAATCTGGTTGAAGACCTTCACATAGAACATCACCCACTTACTCCAAAGCTTCAGTAGAAGGTAACTGGACTTCTTTGTTGGTTCTTGAAGACGCTTCACCTTCACCCAAGAGTTCACCCACCTTCACCCCTCAGTTCAACCCTTAAACCAAGCAGCCTACAACCTGTTAACAACCCAAGACTCCAACCCAGTCTCCACAAAATTACATTTATATACAACTAAACTACATTCTTTATTAGATTTTGAGGGGAATTTTGTTTTGACTTGTAATGTGGTGGGAAAAGCAGCCAGTTTAAAAAAGCATCAAAGTCCATGTTAGGAGGTAGAGAACCAGAAAGTTCAACCTGGAAGACCAGGGTTTGCATCCTGTGACATCTTTTTCTCTCATTGTTGTTACTCTGGTTAGATTTAGATGCCATCTTTTTAATGTTGAAGTGAGACACCAAAGTTACGTGGTTAGGATTAAAGTATAAAACTTTCACTGTATGTTTAAAGCGTCACGTCCAGTTTCTTGGTTACCTGGGTGACGAATCCCACTCCATCTAAAATATGATTGATTCAAGCATTTAAATAAACGACAGCGATACATTGATTAGAAACTTATTTGTGTTGCAAAACAAACAAATGTCATCTGGCAGAATATACGTTTCCCCAAATGACTTGAGGTGTTACGGGTTGTGAACCTGCCTGGTGAAGAATCTCAGGACTGCATTATAAATACTTGATCAGTGAACCTCTTTTCTGTCCAGTGTATGAAGATTACTGTCTCTAAAAGAGGGTCCCTTCCCCTTTAGATACTGCTGAGTCCTGAACAGCTGACTCGTTTAGTCTCCTCTATACAGTATAGAGGTTTTTGCACTCCTCACTGTATTGGACTGCAAATACAACATTGCTCAGCTTGTGTTTTTTGGTGCTCTATCTTTAGGGTTTTTGTCTCAGAGCGTTTCTAAATTGCACCAGGATGTTGAACTTCAGATTACCATAACCTGGAATGTTGGAACTTTACACCAATATATCACCATGACTTTGACTTCCCTGTTGGTGTTCACTGGGTCTTGTCTGATACAACATCGTCATAATGTCTAATTTTCTATATTCTCGTCCTACTGTTTGCTGCGTGCCTTTAGATGATCGACCTGGGGCTGCTCCTCCATCCCGGCTCTTATTTCCGCGACCTGTGGAACATTCTTGACTTCATCGTGGTCAGTGGAGCTCTGGTCGCCTTCGCCTGCTCGTAAGTCACATTTGACTATTTCGCCTCCAAATATAATGTATTTCACTGACATCTCAGCTCGTTGAAACAAATCACCAGGTGTGTTGTGTTAAAGTGTTTTTCACTGATGATAATTTCTGTCCACTGTCCATCACTGGAGCCCCAACAAACAGCTTTAATGTGCTCATCTAATCTTGTTTCTGAGGCATTTTCGCTCCCTGGGGGTTTGTTTTTACTACAAGACCGGGCCAGAGTCCTCTTTCCTTGTTACATAAAGTCTCTACAGCCCTTCCTTGCTAGTCAGCTAATGGGCCATGCACAATTTGGCCGATAAGGTTCAGGAGTATTGGATTGTCTTGTAAATGCCAGGCAGCTCGAGTTTCTACCTGATTGTAGCTTTGCAATTACTCCTTTATGCACTATCTGTTCTTTGCATGCAGTTTTTAATGCAGGATTTCAAGGAACTCTTTTCTAGCAGCGTTCTGGTTGAGCTGGACCACACGTTTCATACACAGTGGCACATTTTTGTACCTTTATTTACCTGTTTTGAGCAAGAAATCCAGTCTTTTTGCTGCTACCTTTAACTAAAAATACTTGATCTCAGCAACCAGTTGGAAGTAAATGTCATCCACAGCTAGAGGAGTCGTTGAAGCTTTACAGACCTGTCCTCTGGGTCTCTGGAGACAGAAGGTGTTTATATGCTTTGTTTGTCAGTTATTTGCCGCTATTGACTCTAACTCTCAACAGTTTGTCGCCTGTGTATTTTTCTTTGTAACACTTCCTGTCACTCTGATGTTGTTTTTTTCCTTTCTGTCTTTGGCCAGCTGTAGATTGATGCTTCTCTCTGTGTTTTATCTGTTGTCTTCTGCCTTCTTTCTGTCACTTTTTCCCCCCCTCTCCCTTTTCTTCTTTGTTTTCTGGCTTGGACTTGCTTTCAGGAGCCTCATGGGGTAACGTCTGCTCTTTCAGCCCGTCCGTCTATCTGTCCACATGCATCTCTTCCTGTTTGTGTCGACTCTTTTCCCTTCTCGTCCATCTCAGCCACGGTTTTACGGTGTCCATCAGCCCTCCTCTCTCGCCCGCTGAATGTTTTGAGCAAATGTCACATTTCGTAATTTGCTATTCTTATCTTTGCCGCCACAGTCGCGATTAAAGACACTGGCATTTACTCTTGTTTGTGTTAAATAACCGTGTTTGCGTTACCTCCGTATGTAGGTTACATAAGTGCAATTACCTGTTTTTCTATTTATCGGGTGTATTTAATGTGTTTAGGAGCAACAACGTACATAATGCACAGCGGGGCGGCACAGTAATTGAACAGACTACTGTACTGTCAGGGACATTTCGACAGTTGCGAAGGTTCAAGCTCTCGGAAGAGTGAAAGGTTTTCTAAATATTCATGAACACAATGGATCTGAGTGCCGCTGTGCATAACAAGCGCACAGATAAAGAAAGATGCTAATTGAAAACTATTAAACAGACTGAATGGTAGCTATAGCTTTCAGACAAAAAGAATTCAAGTGTAATAAAAGTCTAGGATGATGTAACTGCCCACCGCTAATGCACAGATAGTTTATAAGTTAAGTGTTACAGCATCAGTTTAGTCCAGTACTTACCGTCCTCGTCCTGATATGCACAGAAAAGTAATTATTTGGAACTTATCAGAGTTACTTCTCCTTCATCCCTTCATCCCACGTTCACATCCTCACCAGCTCAACCTCCTCATCAGCTCACATTCATGTCATTGCAAGTGTGTAACGGGCTACATTCACAACGCAAGGCTTAAAGCTTCATTCTGGCTGCTTACAACCTGGATATTATTTGGATATAAAACAGATTTTTAAAGTTTGGCTTCTGTTGGTTGTTAGAAAATACATGACAGAACATTTGTGTTGCTTGGAAGTAAAACTGAGCAATCAGACAAAATTAAGGCGACGTGTAAACTAACTATCCAAAAGTTAGACATCCATCGCAGTTTAGAAACTTCTGCAAGTTAATTGCATTTGCTCACTTTAAAATGTACCTCATAATGAAAGGATTAAGAGAGTTTGGGCAAAGAAGACGACACCGGACAAGAGGTCTTTTGTGCGTGTCCAGAATTTCAGAATATCCATTAATTTTTGAAATCCTTAAGGCAATTAGGTCAAGAGCAGACCCAGAGAGAGACAGCAGTCAAACCTTCAAAGCCAGAAATATGAGCAATGAGTCCTAAAAACTGTAAAAGCCATAGAAACTTATTTTAGAATGAAGCTAGCTATATGCTTCAATGAATTTTTATTGCAAACAGATAAAAGTTTTGTTGTTTTGACCAACAATAACACATGCTGCAGCTAGCTTAATTTCAAACCAATAGCACGTCAGTCGATGAAATTGCAAAGAAATACCTATCATTCAGTAGCATCCAGACTTTTCCATGGACTGTCGACTTTAGGATGTGCTTGAAAATATTCTGATCCAATGAGATCAGATCTGAAACAAGTAAACCAAGAGCCTCAGCCATGTAAAAGATGGACGCAGCCTCCGGGTCTAAAAAGTGAAGTAACTGTGTAACTGTGTTTAAACCTGCATTCTGTCTAACAGCCAGCAGGAGGCGACTCCTCTGGTTTAAAAAAAATGAGGATCGTATAGAAGTTTATGAGAAAATTAACCTACTTTATACTTGATTTGCTGCTTCGGGAAACATTTTCTTAATGAGTTTGTGGTCCCTGTAGCAGCTTTCAAGTTTCCTTTAATACAGTCGAATGTTCATTTTGGAGATTATGGTCCCATTTAGAGTGAAATAGATGATAAAACAGGGTATGCTTTAGGGAGTGCACAGTGTCCTCGAGTTCTGAGTCGGATTCAGCCCTCGCTCATCACATTAATTTTCAAGAAACCAAAGAAGTGATGGCAAAAAGTCCAAACTTAAGGCTTCAAAATTACAGTCTGTGGTTCTTGGTCGAGTCTTTGCTCCTTTGTGAACCCACTAAGACCCGTAAACAGGACATAAATCTGAAATATAGACAGTTGAAAGGTGGATTAAATAGAACATGATTGCATGGAGTTGCAGAAGCTGCTCAGACAGGGAAGGATTCTGTCAGGACTTCAGATCTCTGGCGCCGTATGGAACAGATTTAGGACCACATACTTGGTTTGGACTGAGGGGTAAAGTGTGATTTCGTTTTCTCACTTGCAGCGTGAATGCAGTCATACAGCAGATTGTTCTCGTCAACAGTGTCTCTCATCTTTGCTTCCCTCCACATTGCATCGTGTTCATCCTCCGGCTACAAATGTGATTTATTCTCATGTTCAATCCACACAAACACGGTCCGGTGTTTACCAGACTCGTCTATTGCTGTCACTCCTCCAAACGGTGATTAGTTTAAGTGTGTCCGTGTTCCGACGTTGCGGCCAGTACTGTCGCTGTATCTCCGTGCCTGTGTGATATCTGCTTACATGTCTTTCTTTAACTGCTGGTGTTTGTTTTTTTGTGCTGTTGTCCGCTTGCTTATCATTGCTTTTTCTCATCAGATCGCAACAAAGCGTGGCCAGGTGGGAACTGTCCCTCTCTACCTTTTGCTTCTTGACCCCCTTTCCCCTGTTTTTTTAACCCTCCACATGTGAAACACAGATTTTATCAACCTCCCAATTAACTTTGTCGACCTCCATCCCAAGCTGCTTGGGATATGACCATGACTTCCCTCCCTCCTCGCCCTCCTCCCTGCTAGAAAATGAGCCAATATTGGGGCATAAAAACGTAAAAATAACAGACAATATTGGGAACTCCACCTCATAGCTTTCAGAAGACCAATGTATAGCCGCTGATATGCGATCTAAAACTCTTTAAACCACAACTAAAGCGGGTTTACTCGGTCAAATTGCTGAGCGATTACAGCCTTCACCTTCTTTATGCATTGGACTAAGAGGAAAGTCAATAAAGGATTACAGCGTCTCACCTTAACTCACCTTGACTGAGCGCTAAGAGGCGGTATGTGAGGGAAAAAAATAGACACTTGTGTTTTTTTCTGTTACAAAAATGTAGATATTTGATGTTTTGTTGGGAAAATAGAAGCTTTTTAAAAGAGGGCGACAATTAAACCCATTTTCTACCCAAATTTGCGTTTCGTTTTATTTTCCCAAGCAGCCAGAATAGGATGTTCTCTCACAGTGTTGACAGTTCATAAAAAAAATACCCAGTAATGGAGAGTAAAATGGAGAAAAAATGCAAATGAGCTGCTGATTATGCACCAGATGCTCCAAATGAACATTCTTAAAAAGCCATTGACCTACAGTACTGATTGTTTGCGTCGCAGATAGTTTTTAAAAAGTGCGACTTTTTAACCTGCGTTTTTATTGCAATCAAAGCAAACTCTCACAAATTACCACGAAAACGTAATGAGCCCAGAGAGAGTTGGTTTGGAATACATTTGAATATGCGGGTTACATATATTATGATAAATTCTCTGCGGTAATTGGATTCTTGTGCATCCTGTTGTGCCGAGGCTCCTGATTAGATGTCAGACCCAAACAGGAAATGCTGCTCGCTCTCAGGAGGAAGCAGGACCAGAAGACGACCTCACATGGCCGCCGCCGCCGAGCACATCACAGCGATCTGCTCAGCAGCGACACGAACACACATTACGTCCTCGCTGCCTGCGGCGCTTCTGAAAGCTATTGGGAGACTGTTCTGTGCCATCTCAATGTGTCGAAGTCCTTGAATAGCAGGACTGGCATTGACTGTGCAGACTGCATGCCAGATAATCCGGGTGATCCAAGCATGAGAGCCGCATGCCCTTTTCGAAGTTTTCATTGAGAAAGAAAAAAAAAAAAAGAAGAAAAAAGCCTGAAATGTTTGGAACCAGCGTGCTACTTTTCCAGTCCTTCCCTCTCTACATGCGAACACAAATAGATCATTATCCTGGATGGTGTTTTCTGCCAGTGAAGGTTTGAAGGTTGGTTTTCATGAGCTGGTGCCATGAGTCCATTAAAACACAGCCCTGGACAGCCAGGTGTGCTTTAAACGAGAGCTTCTGCAGCACTGACAGACCGATCTGAGCCCGTGTGAATGAGAGGATGTGTCACAATTTGATATTTAAATCAGATTTTGAACAGGGAACGAGAGAGTTTACCTTTACAACGTCACCTTCAAAGTCCCTTTATTTTCCCGGAGAGCAGCTGACTTGATTTATTTCCTTGTTTAAGCATCCAGTTAATTATACATTTAGAAAACATGCCAAAAAAAATTTAAAAAATGAGAATCACTGGTACCTGTAGCCTTTGAAACACTTCTAGGTTACTGTAAGGATCGACTGGTTTTCCTACTGGCTGATATTCTGATCCAATATTCAGCACTTTTCTGATTATTTGCATAATTTGGTTGTTTGTTTGTGTAAACTTTACCTTCCAAGCCCCCTCATTTAAAGATTTCCTAAAAAAGGAGCTGACATGTGATTTATTTTCTTGTTAAAGGACGAAAGTCAGCATCCAATCAATGATCTGTGTGCAGAGAAATCAATAAATCAGAGGGATTTGTGCATTAAATGTAATTTGCAACCCTGTACATTAATATAGTCAAGACATGCCCCCTTAAAATGTGAAAATCTGATCCGATATTCTGCTTTTTAAAAAACTTTCTTTTCAACCAATTTCCAATAAAGTCCCACCCTGATTGGCTGTGCATCACAAATAATAAAGTATCATCAACACTGACAGTTATTAGTTTCTTTTACTTAAAAATATATAAAATATGAAAAAAGATAAAGGCATTTTAACAAAGTTTTGTGTTGGAATTTGTGTCAGTATAAATTTTGCCACTAAGATTTTCATTTTTACAGTAAGTATAAACTCTAAATAGCGTTATAGTTCCCCTTGATTTCTAATAATCAGTATCTATAATCAGTCGACCCCTAGTTACTGCTGTAGTTAGCTGAACGTGCTAACATATGCAGCTTACGTTAGAGCGGATAAATACACTTTTAAATCTACATTTCTGGTTTTAGGAAGGTGACCAAAATAGCAAAAATGTGCAGAAATCAGTGACACAAATCCATATTTATCATCTAGATTTGATCGCAAGCACATGCATGTATTCTTATATTCTCTGCTAAACAGCCCGTTGGTGCGTTTTTATCTTTTGCATGAGTAAATAACGTTCTTTTTTTACTACTGTAGGAGTAGTTTTAATTAAAACATCAGTAACACGCTGTATCAGTAGCAGCAGGGCCTCCAGAGGAAACCAACACGACCATTAGACTCTTGTTGTTGTTTTTTTTTTCTTGTGTCCTTCTCCACACCCTTCATACGTTTAGTATTTGCTCTGCACACACAGATATAGACACACAGTTGTGTTGGCGCTCAGGATTTTTACTTTTTTTTTTAATGAAGTTGAGAAGAAACAAACAAGAAACAGCATTTATTGAGAGTGACAGCCGCATTGTGTGTATGTGTCACCGATTAATTAAAAACCCCACCGTCCTTGGCCAATGTCACTGTCTGACTGAGTGATGGCTCGGCTCTGTGTTATTAACATAACAGCTAGTTCTGAAGCCCCCCCCCACACACACACACCCGCCTCCCACTCCGGTGACCAGTGAACAAAACGTCAGTGGTTCCTGCAAAGAAAGCCGCCTCCTGCACCAGGGGCGGATTCTTTGTGCTTTCACTGTGAAGAGTACAAGATATGTATGTGTTATTCAGCAGAAACGGCTTTGTGTGGCGGAATAAGGGCTGAAAGAAGCGAAAAGCTGTTTAATTGTGCTGGATTGGGATGAAGAGCAGCGTTTAAATCCACTGTTGTGTGAAAAGCTGTGGTCATAAATCACAGGGATTAGTAAATTAGTAAAGGAAGCAAAAGGGAGAAAAGGTGAAATTGAATTGAAAAAGGAAGAAAACTGGAAAAGAGGTTGGAAGGAAAAATGGGAATAAAAATACAGGAAGTAGTTTTAAGAAAGAAAGAAAGAAAGAAAGAAAGAAAATTGAACTGATGAAAGCAAAGACAGATAAGAATGAGGGGTGGACAAAGGAAGGAACATAGTGAAAGAACATGATGAAAGAAAGAAAAAATAATCATAAAATGAAAATAATATAAAAATGAAAAATTGGAAAGAAAAGGTTGGAAAGAAAGACGGGAATAAAAATAAGGGAGGTAGGCTAAAATATTCATTTAATTTAACAAAAGAAAAGGTTGGACCTTCCAAATAAGAAAAGAAAAGAAAAGAAAAGAGAGAAAGAATAATAATAAAAGTTACGTAACAAAGAAAGATATTTTTTAGTCACAATTATTTAATCTAAAAAGAAATAAAAAAAAGAAATGATAGACAAGATGGAGGTAAGAAAAGAAAAGATTGAAAGATGGACAAAGGACGGACGAATGTGATGAAAGAAAGAAAAGAATTAATTGAAACGAAAATAATATAAAAATTGAAAACAAGAAAAAAGTGACAGAAATGGTTGAAATGAAAGACAGGAATAAAAATACAGGAGGAAGGAAAAGAAAACATCAGACCTCCAAACATGAAGAGAAAGAAAGAAGCAAATATAAATTAAGTTACAAACAAAGAGGCATTTTTATTGAAGATTAACTGATCTACAAAGAAAGAAAGAAATGATTGATAGAAAAGATGGACGTAAGAAAAGAAAAGATAAAAAGTTGGACAAAGGAGGAAAGAAAGTGAAAGAATGTGATGAAAGGAAGAAAGAAAAACATCCAGAGGAACAAAAATAAGAAGGTAAAGATTAAGGGAATAAAAGAAATAAAAAGTGCAATACAAAGAAAACAAAAATATAAATTGCTGAAGGAATGAAACAAAAGAAAAAGGTATGTAAAGAAAGTATGTATGTGAGAAAACCAGCGTACTGGAGCATGTTTCTGCAGAATAACATCCACGTGCATGCCTCCTACTAACAGAACAGAAACTGGTGTCCCACACTCACATGTTGTAACGGAGCTCCGGTCGACAGCCTTTCACATGTTTGTCCGTTGCGTCACATCCCAGACACTCACTGTCCTCTCGATCTGCACAGAGGCACCAAAGGCAAGGACATCAACACCATCAAGTCCCTGAGGGTCCTCCGAGTCCTGCGGCCGCTCAAGACCATCAAGAGGCTGCCCAAGCTGAAGGTACGCGAATCCAATCCGCCAGCTCATCAGGAAGCAGGAGATAAACGAAGGCTGACAGCTAAATGCGTTTACAGGGTGTGAAGGAGGAACGGCTGATTTAAAGCCGTCATGTTTTAAAGCTGATATAAATCTACACATGTTAGACCTGATCTGCTCGACCTTTGGATTGCGGAGGAGCAGGAGGCGATTAAGTTACACAAATTGGAAGCGGAGCGGCTGAATGGAGGCCGAGGGTCGGAGGAGGGTTCGGCGTCTGAGCCGAGGTTTCCCAGCAGAACGTGGGTTTGTGACGACATGATCAGTGTTCCTCACTTGTCAGGGGTTTTAGTGTCGTGGCTGTTTGATGGTAACTCCTCAACACATGCAGGAAGTAGACACACTGTGTTTTAATATCATTTACAACCTATAGATCTGATAAATGTGTTGCTGTGCTGGTATTGGTTACATTCACAGCAACAAAACAGCATAAAAACATCCACTGAAACTTCAACAAACACCTCCTGTGTGTGCATTATGTGCCAAACATTCATATTAATACCAACATACAGCGAAAATATCCGCTTCAATTCGTCTTTTGCTGCAGCAGCTACTTTTATATTTGTCTTAAATACTAATAACAAGTCGTTTTATTTATGGACAAAAACACAAACAGTCAGTTTAGGGTATTTTGAAATTGTGGCGAAAACACATACAGCATTTTTTGAACATAATTTTGGCAAAAACTAAAAAAATAAATGCTGACAAAAGTTGTATCATATTTTCAGGTTTAGGTTATGGTGAAGAAAGCTCAGAACATGTACTGTGAAGAGGAAGAAATACAGAGAAATGTGTTTTTTTATAAACACAAATGGTTGAAGTCGACACATTTCCGTTGTGTTTAAAGCACAATACAGATTTTACATTTTTTAACACATTTTTTTGGGAAACAGTAAAAAATACTAACATGTTATGTTTAAAATTAAGTGAATAGAAAAATATTCTTTTTTTCAATGTGATTTCTACATTGCATGTATATGCATGTGAACATTTCTAAAACTGGGAGAACATTGTTCAGGAGAGGCTGGAACCTTAAAAAAAAAAGGCTCATGAAGATTTTTGAAGTTTCTTATTTAAACCTCAATAAGCAAAAGAGCCGCTGTTTATGTTGAAAATCAGAGCATCCCTTGAATTAAAAAAAAAAGATGACAGCTCATACTTCCTGAATGCTAATAGCACGCCATGCTATTGAAAAACTGCTGTTTTCACTCAGATTCTTCTGAACTATGACAGACAGCGGATAAATGTGTTATGCTGCAACTACTTTCTTTGATCATTTTGATGTTTTTTGCACCGAGACAGCTTTATGATTTCTGGATTTAACCACAATCTGTACCGTAGAGGGATGGTGGTGTCGCTATTTATATTCTTAAAGACCCTCTTTAGTGACTTGATTTAACCCCTAAAGGCTCCTCTCTGTGGGGCAAAGTTATATATTTGGATTTTTTTCCTGTGAAAATCCTGGAATACACAGATCTATAAAGTCTGTCTCCACCCAGCCCTTCCTGTTGAATTAAATCAGCCCGACATGTTTCAACCACAAACTGATTCTGAACCTACAAGATGACAGCGTTGGTTCTTTAGGTTTGTTACGTATTAAACCCAACAAGTTTGAATCAGTGTTTTAGTGACGGGTTCACTGCAGTCTGAAGGTGGAAATGCTCAGTCGTGCTGTTCCTGCTGCTTATTTCTCTCATGATGTGTCTCCTAGCCTATAAAAACAACCCCATACGAACATGTTTACGAGACAGAAACCCGTTTTATTCAATCTTGCAAAAGCTGTCACATGGGGTGGCTCTCATCCAATTACAGTTACACCCAGTTACACGAAATATGTCAAGTTTGTGTCTGTTTGGCAGATGCTGTCATGACTTTTCCAACTGTTCTTGATGTACTAATCTTGGAAAAATTTGAGTAACCTGCAGTCTGGACTTGATCGCCAGCTACACCTGCAGTTCTGCGATTATTTGGCCAATTTGGTGCTCAACTAGCTGTCAAATCAAAACGAGTCCCGTGTTGTTAGCCACAAATTGGCAGTCATTTGGATGCAATCCTCTTTGTAGCTGAAATCAAATTACGCAGAGATAAATCCTGTTCCTGGGGATGCTGGGAGTTTTCGTAGATTTATGTGCGCTGGTGTTGTGTTAATGGACAGAACTTGGATGCAATGTGGAAATTGGACTGAATTTGACTGCGAGTTGATCACAGAAGCAAAACTGAAAAAACTGTGAGATCTGAGATTTGTACAAACTTATACTTCACTAATCTTTTACAGCCTGTTTCATATTGTTCTCACAGAATGATTTCAGTTTATTGAAAAATCAGAGAATGTCAGTCGACATCTTTCCAACCACTTAGGTTGAACATTTAAAACTTTGCCAAAGTATCTCATGTGCAGTTAAAAACTCTGATATGAGGATTCTGCGAAGCAACAACAAAAGCAGTGCTGCTGGTTTGACCCTCATCAGGGCAAAAGCTTCAACTGTTTCCTCTGACGCAGAAGTGACAGCCTCCCTCTGGTGCGTGAAGGCTGCTGATCGTCCAAAAGTAATGGATCTGACAAAAGATGAGAGATTTGATTGGAGTAAGAAAAGTGAGAGGATTGAGGCAGATGGGAGCTGGCAGAGCGACGCCCGTCCACCACTCTGCTCCGATACTTGGACGGAGTGGTTTGACGGACAGGCTGGCAGCAGAAGTGGCGGAAAGAAATATGCTTCGTCCCCACTCTGAAGTAAAATAAGAATAAAAAAAAAACAAAAAAAAAAACTTGATGCTGATCACTCATGCAGCAGCGTACTCATTGGTTAGATTGCACACATGTCAGGATGGATCGACAAAGCACTTCATCTCGCCGAGAGCTCACAGCACAAACTGACAGAGAGAGTGATCGGCAGGAAGACGGACTGCATGTACCCAGATGAACTGATCTGGTCCGAAGGTGTTTAGATGTTTGGCTGGATTTGTCTGAGTTTTTAGACCTTCTGGTTACGTATGGACGCTGTTCAGCAGCCTGTACAGGTGGAAACAGAGTAAGGTTACAGGTGATCAAGGTGGTTTTTTCACTAATGGATGAAACTCTTTAACCACAAATTGTTAGTTTAGGAATGTTTTGATTGTGGTTTAAGCACGTACTTATTTTTTTTTAATTAATACATTTAGGCAACAAAAAAAAGGTGTGAAAAGCTCAGAATGTGCTACCTACGATAGCAGGTGAAGAGGTTTTTTTGTTTTTTTTATTGGCAAAAAGTAAACAATGCTAACTTTAAATGTTTAGCTTTTAATAGCACGACATGAGAAAAATATTTTTAAAAATGCAATTTTTAAATTGTATTTCAAAAATATTGATTACTGTTTTATTAGCATAAAATAGTAATCAATTTAGCCTCCTTAAAAAACGAGTGTAGATAGATATAAATTACAGTCATGGTTTTGGATATGGACAACAAACAGTAATCTCCCATGTTGAAGTCTGGCAGTTTTTTAGTGTGTATTTTTTTTTTTTTTTTTTTTTAACCCTTCCATCCACCCCGACCTCCTCTCTTTGCCCAAAAACTCTATCTAAGAGTCATTTTGCAAAGGACTCCTGACTTGCTTGAGTTGTGAGAACCTCTACTGTATTACAAATGCAAAATAAAAACAAATATTAGTTTTGAAAACCAACAACGTTAACTCAGTTGGAAATGAAAAGCAATCTCCTGTGTTTAAGTCTGACGTTTTTTTTGACCCGTCCGTCCACCCCGGCCTCCTCTCTCTGCAGAATTGTGATTGTATGAATGATCTCTGGGCATAAAGAGTCTCCAGACGCAAACTGAATGCATCAATTCAGTCTGATTATAAATGTACATAAAGCCTCACACGTACTGTCCTGATGCGTGTTTGTGTGGATGTTCTGCAGGCTGTGTTTGACTGCGTCGTGAACTCCCTGAAGAACGTACTCAACATCCTCATCGTCTACATCCTCTTCATGTTCATCTTCGCCGTCATCGCCGTGCAGCTCTTTAAGGGCAAATTCTTCTACTGCACTGATGAATCCAAAGGCCTGGAGAAAGACTGCAGGTACGTCACGAGCAGACTCTTCCTTAAGCCGAGATGTCTGTAAACAACTGAAAAACGTATTTTTGTCAAAGAAAAACGTAGATCTTCCCTTTTACTTCCATCTGTGATAGTTATGTAACTTTATACAAACATTCAAAATGACTACATTCTTTTCTGATCAGACTATTTTCTTTATTTCAGGGGTCAGTTTCTGGACTACGACAGGGACGACGTTGCTGCTCAGCCCAGAGAGTGGAAGAAGTATGAGTTTCACTATGATAACGTCCTCTGGGCCTTTCTAACCCTCTTCACCGTGTCCACCGGAGAGGGCTGGCCAGTGTAAGTCAGGACATTCAGGGTTTTTTTTATACACAGAATCAACTAGACGGAGTAGTTTGCACTGTAAATATGAAATGAATGAATTTGTTTAGAGACCACAAATGTATAGCTGATAATCTGTGCTTGAGTATCTCTTTATTGCTAGAATTTCCTTCGATGATTCGACACTGAGCACACCTGGAGGTAAAACATACTGTCGCACATCGAACCCACCTGATTACTCCCAGGTCTTAATTACTGCGCTAAAGATGCAATCACAGTTTATTGGAAAGAAGCCTCAGTCTGCTATTTTGTGCCTGAGCCTCAGTGCTCAGGTATCACAAGCACTATCATCATCTCTGCGACAAGCCGCTCGCTTGTTTGGTTCGTTGTTCTCGGCTGAGTGAACTTGTGACGATCGTGGAAAACGACACGCTTGGTGAGAGTTTAATAACACCACGGCCACGAGGAGGGACTCTCAGTTGGGTTTGGGGTTTTGGATACCTAAAAATCTACACTCGCGATTTTTTGGGAGCAAAACTTGCAACTTTTCTGTTTCATTAAATGATAGATGAGTAGTTAGGTTTCCGACCAAATGGGTGTAAATGGGTCGTAAATGGGTTCCTGCCTCCCTCAGACCTCTAATGCATGAGTCTCCTGCTCTCCTTCCCCATATTTCCATCTTTTCCTCACTTTCACTAAACTTTCTATACAAGGTTATAATTCTTTGCCAAAACAGTACAGATACTCAGACACTGAAGTGTTAAAAAAAAAAAAAAATTAAAAAAGCTTTTTAGTTAGAGTTGAAATTAGCTTCTTTATTAATAAGATAAGATGAATTTTTTGGATCCCTCATGGGGGAACTGTACCTGTTACAGCAGCTGGATATAGATGAGGCATTGAAGAGGCAGGAAAAGAATTATTAAATGTACAAAACGGCTAAAAATCAAGATATAATAAAGGTGCAATGCGAGGTGAGTTTACATGTAGAGATGTGACGTGGTCAGAGGTTGGTAATAATCACAAGACCACAGAAGAAAAGGAGGAACTGAGGGAAGAAGATGCTTCTCAAAATAAATGAAAAATATAACAAAAGGAGGACTTCTACTGGAAGTTTTAAGCATGCTAAGCTAAACTGAATGAGCAAAATAAAAGCTTTGAAGCCAACATCTAACTTACCTGCGCTATACAAACAAAACATACACAGGAAGTAGCATCTTCTAACATTTTCATAACTCACAACAAGTCGACAAAAGCTTCCGTAGATGAGTCCCCAAACCTTCTTGCCGAAAATGTGCACATGCAAATCTGCAAAACAAAACAAAGACGACAATATGAAGTCAATTGAACTGAGGAGATTCAAGTGGTAGATGGCTTCAATGAAGTTAAAAAACACACTTCATGTTTGCTGGATTCTCAGGATATTGTTACTGTGAGCACCAACTTGGAAACAGTTTCCAGTTTTATCTGTGCTATTTTATACCACGCAGCTGCTGCTTTGTAAGAACTATTGCATATTTAAGCACACCGAGAAGAGCAAAGTTGCATTACATTACGTATGCAGGAGTGAGAGCTGATTGCAAATGTTCATTGGTTATTATAACACATTCCAACACATGGTTAAGGTGACCAACAAACCAACAACGTTAACTCAGTTGGAGATTAACAACAAACAGCAATCTTCTGTGTTGAAGTCTGACGTTTTGTTGGCCCGTCCATCCACCCCGACCTCCTCTCCCTGCAGAATTTGTACTCTATAATAATTCAACCCAACTTAGTCCTGTCTATTATTACTGCAACCACAAAAGGACTCTGCTGCTTTAAAGTAAACATCCGTATAAACAGATAAATGAAGCAACAACTTACATACAGGCTTCTAAAAAAGGTTCCTTGAAAAAGTCAGTCGATGAGCTCGTACCCATCAGAAACCTCCACAGACGGGCTGATTGGACATTTTGGGAAAGCTCGATTCCATTATTTTTTAACTAAGCTTGCTCGATTCCACGGAATTTGTTTTTGTGAGTTAAAGGCTGAAGCGAGGTGGAGGTTCTCATGAGATAGATGTAATTACAGGGATTCAGCAAGAGATTTAAAGTTGGAACAGGCAGTTTGGCCGAACTCTGACCAGAAGTCTGACCAGGCTGGATGTAGATGAAGTTTTAGAATCTTTCTACATGGTTGAAATCTTGAGTAAATCCAAGTTTTTTTTCTTCTTTCCAGCGTCCTGAAGCACTCTGTGGATGCCACATACGAGGACCAGGGTCCCAGCCCGGGATTCCGCATGGAGACGTCCATCTTTTACGTCGTCTACTTCGTGGTGTTTCCCTTCTTCTTCGTGAACATATTCGTGGCTTTGATCATCATCACGTTCCAGGAGCAGGGAGACAAGGCCATGTCAGAGTGTAGCCTGGAGAAGAACGAGGTGGGAGACTTTAACATGATGCAGTTTGTTTTTCTGATGGGAAACAAATAAAAAACTGATCAATTTCAGCAGAAGTTTCTGAAAAATGTTTATCTCTTGCATCACAAGTATCTCCAGCAAGAAATCGTAGCTCGTGTAGATCTTCTTCTAAACATCATTATGATGCAAATTAAATCTAACACGCCCTTAAACAGAATAAACCTCCACGAAAGAAGAAAAAGTTTGTTTTATCTCCGCGCTCTCTTCATCTCCACTTCACAGGGACTTTATAAAAATCGTGTCGTGTTTTTTTTTTTTGTCTGTGAAGTATTGGCTCGTGATCAGAGAGCCTTAATTTGTAGCCTCATCTTTTGATACCACAAAACACTTAGAAAATTCTCTTGTGGCATGCCAGCTGTCTTTTATTTTTAATTTGGATTCCAGCACTTTTTTTTCCCTCTGATGAAAGATGTGAAGGTCCTGTATCAGAGAGTGCTCACACGCAGTCTGTTTTTTTTTTTTTGCTTTGTCTTCTCCACAAACAGAGGGCCTGTATTGACTTTGCCATCAATGCCAGGCCGCTGACGAGATACATGCCAGAGAACAAGCAGTCCTTCCAGTACAAGATGTGGAAATTCGTGGTGTCGCCTCCCTTCGAGTACGCCATCATGACTTTAATCGCCCTCAACACGGTCGTGCTGATGATGAAGGTCAGTTATTCCTCCTGCTAATGAGGCACAGCGCCAGTTTGCTCTCAGATACCTCGCAGCCAGAAAAAGCTCAGTGACACTCATGAAACAACTCGCTGCTGAAATATTAAAACGAGGATTGCACAAGACGTTTCTATAAGTGTACTGTTAAATAATTTAGTTTTTAAGACAAAGATGCAACAACAACAACAACAGCACTGGACCGGCCTTGGGACACAAACTGAGATTTTATACGGGAGAGATTCAGCACTTAGTAGAAGTCTGTGGGAGAATTCGATGACACTGAAGATGCAGTGACAGAAACATGGTGTCATGAATGTATGCATGGAAGTATAACATGTAGGGAAAAATGCTTTGTAAACCTTATTTTTGGGCAAACTTTTTATTTGTTTTTGTTGCACATACAGTAACGTTTAATTCTATATGTGTAGTTTGTGTGTCCCAGTAGTCTGAAACACAGCTGTAAGGCACACATTTCAGTCAGCTTTATCCTTTCTCTTACTGTCTGTGTGTAAATGTTTTCTTCACTGCAGGAAACAACAACAACCTCCGAACAGTAAAATACCGAGCTAAAAATGTATGTTTTTGCAGTGGATTTGAATCGGATTAGCCATTTTAATTACAGTGCTCATCTTAAATGTCACTATTTTGACATATTCGAGCACTAAAACTATTTATTTTGTTTAGCCCCGCCCTCGACAACTGTGTTTGGTTT